GGTGGGGGGGGGCGCGGGGGCGGGCGGGGGGGGCAGGGCTGGTGCCAAGGCGGGGGTGAGGGGCGCACACTCACCAGGGTCTGCTCCTCAGAGAGCCCGGTCTCGGCTGCGATGAGGCACAGCGTGGTGGGGTCAGGATGCTTGTTCACCTTGCAGAAGTTGTACTCCAGGATCTCCAGCTGCTCCTCAGTGGGAGTCACCGGCTTCTCCGTAGCCATCTCCTCCTGGGGCAGGGCTATGGGGCCAGGCACTGCGGAGAGGGGCCGGCGTCATTGCCCAAGCTGGGAGTGGCCAGTGGGGCCACACTTGCTGAGCCACAGATTTGCCATCCCCATCCCCACCAGCTTCCCCCTCCCCAGTGGCCTCTGGCCGTGGCAGGGCACAACTCCCCAAAGGCATGCCGGGGAGCTCAGCTGGGAGCCCCAGCCCCCCAGAAACTCCTGCCTCAGTTTCCCCACTGTGGCGACCGCACACCAACAGCGCCCAGCTGAGCTGTCTCACCATCCTTAGCTGGCAGGAAACTGCAGCCTGTCCTCTGCTCAGCACTCCCCTGTTGCTGTATTTATAGCCAGCGTGACTCCCGTTGGGATGGTTCCTGTTTACAGCCGTATTTAGGCCTGGGCGTCACTTGGGAGTGATGTCACAGCAACGGGCATGATGGGGGGGTTAATTTAAAGACATTAATTAAAAAACATTATTTATCCTATGGGTGAGGGGACAGTATCTGGCATCCAGCCTAGTGTGTTTTTTTTTTTCTTCTCCCCAGCCACCAGGCAAGTTTGTGCAGGGGAATTGCAAACCAGAGGATGCAGGATCTTTTGGGAGCGTGGGCTTGGACCCAGCAATCAACCCATTTTCCCTCCTGATCAATGTCCTGGTCCTCCTCCCAGCAGCATGGCCAGACATCACACAAAGCTGGTGATGAGCAGATAAGCTGCTTTTACTAATATTTAATGTTATCACACATAGGCATAAACAGTTAGTCATGTTGTTCCTGAGCATGGCTGAACTGTTTGTTTGTTTGTTTTTCGGTGTATAAGTGAAGGGTCAGTCCTCGGAGAACCGTACCCCATGTGTGTCTGTTGCCCAAGCACTCACTGCCTTCGGCTGTGATCAGTGCTAGGTGCTCCCGGCAGTGGCAGAAGCAAGGAGCTCACATTCTCCTCCAGAGTAACGTTTGTCCCACTCGTGCTTTGCACAAATCTCTGGCAGACTTGGCACAAAAGCACCAGCAAAACAAGTAAGTACACCTTGGGTAAGTCCCACACCTCCTTCTGCAGGGCTCCAAGTTTGCTCCTGTGTGGCAGAGGGTCAAGCCTGCCAATTCAGTCAACTAAACACGAGGCGTTGCCCCCACAAAGCATGCAGAAGTCCCTTCACGCTGAATCATCTCGGTGTTTCCGAAACCAAGCTGTGGAGTGTTGGCGGGGGAGGAGCTGGGTGCAAAAATGTGGCCTTTCTTGATCTGCTCTCCCGCCGTCCGAGTTGTCTGGCCCATCTCTGTCAGGCGGGCCGGTTGGTGTTGCTGGCTCTCCAGTGCTGTCAGGAGCCCTTGGTCTGCCATGGGACTCCTCTGGGCCGTCTGCTCCCCTCCTGAGCTGCAGACCTGCCCTGCCTCCACCTTGCAGACCAGCTTCTCCTTCCCTTTGGCTCTGGGATGTAACCCAGGCACCTTCATCATGCTGCATCCCTACTGCGTAGCTTTAAACCCAACTGCTTTCCTGGTGGACGGATAACTCACCTTAACCCACTCGGTACCCTGGGGTGTACTGAATGCCCCAGGGCTCTCACTTGCCGACAGCACTGCTGGGATGGGGCTCAGCTCCAAAACTGCCTTGCAGCTTGCAGAGCGCCAGCTCTCCTATTCACGAGAGGCTGGAGAGATCCTCTTCTTTGAGCTTTACCTCAAAAAGCAAAGGCCCCACTGAGCCTTGACTGCAGGAAGTTGCCTTGACTAATACAAGGATCCTTTGGCATTTGAGTAGGGGCTTATAAATAGACCGGGGCTGGCTGTGAAACAGCCCACTCTGCTTGAGTCACTTGGTAAAGCTGATTGTAACACAGTGGTTGTGTAAGGCTGGAGCACCTCTGAGCATGATGGAGTGGGCTGGTAGACAGCATCATCCAGCACCCTGGATGGACTGGGGAAAGATTGTCTTTAACGCCGGGTGCTGCGAGCCGAGCTGGCCTTGTCTGCAGAGTGTTGCAGCCACAGGTGTGCGCAGCAGCTGCCTGGGCTTTCCTGGCGTCAGCTCAGTTCAGAGGTGTCCATACAGGAAGGGGGCAGACAAAGTTCAGTCCCTTATGTGTGTGAGCTGGTGGGGGCCAGGTAAATGCTGCTTACCTACCTTGGGCATTTGGACACCTCTGGAAATGATGCAGGGGGAGAAGGAGATCCCCTGGGCTTGAGGTGCTGCTCTCCAGCACTGTGGCTGCTGGGCTCTCCATGAGATCAAAGTGCAGATGAGGCCAGGTTCAGGCCACAAGTCCTTCCTCCCCTCCTTGATCAGCACCCCACATCAACTCCGAGCCACCTGCCCTTCTCCTAGAAAGCCCAGTCACCACAGGGCTCCTCATCACCTCCGGATCATGCATCTAGCCTGGGCCACCAGCAGCAACATGTCCTGGTGGTTTATAAATCATTGTTTGCAGCCTGCTGCATTAATGTACATTGATGTGTGTGCATTGATTTGCATAGGGAACACATGCTTCAACTTTCATGTTTCATCTTCACAACTGTTTCTATTTCTGATAAATCACCTCCAGGTTCCTGAGGCGTTTCCCTGTAGGACACAGTATCTTCTACCTGCTGGCAGCTCAGGGTGCCCCAGCACACAGGATGTGATGCCTGATCATTTTTCCTTGTCTCCCCTCTACCCCTGCTCTGGAGGGAGAACAGTTCCCAAGGCTGTGAGATGGCTTTCAGGAAAAGGTCAAAACCCTGGGGGTTCTGGAGGGCTCTGCAGGTCTCCCCACATTGCTCCACTGGGCAGGAGCCATGTGGCCCTGTGCAGCAAGCACGTGGCACCCAGCACTTGGCATCTCTTGGGTGCTAAAAATTGGGGGTATATGACAGGACTTGAGGGCACCAGATGTCCCTAAATGTCCTGATTGGCTGTATCTGGACCACTACTCACCTACCCACTACTTAAAGGGAGCCCTGTTTAAGCCCAGGCCTGGAGCTTGGCCTTCAGGCGGCACAAGACCTCTCCCCTGTACAGGAGAGGTGATTTTCTTGCTTACATTTCTTTAAGCCTGGCAGAAATATGGAGAATCACAACTGTTTTGCTCAGCTGCTGAAAAGCAGCACTGCTCACTGCTTTTTTCTGTCTAAATTTTTGCAGGCATTGGAAAAAAAATTTTCAGTGCAAACGATGTAAACTATCTATTCAGCTTTCAGAAAGGCTGGGGGGCTGTGATCGTCATTCAACCCTGTGAGCAGTACCATGCCCACTGCTGTCTCCCCTGGGCAGCACAGGGATGAGAGTTCGGTGGCAGGGGGTTACTCACCCAGGCAGAAATGACAATGCCAGATGCACTGTCACAGTGAAACCACAGCACCGGTGACACCTGCTCTGTCCTAAGAGCAGGTGTCAAGCTAAAGAGCCCTGGGGAATTCACACTTGGCTCTGACTAACTGTCTTGGTTTTAGGTGGAGCAATGTGAGAGCAGCCACCAGCTGAAGCTTGCAAGGGGTGCATCGGTTGCCTGGGCTGTGGGCGGCTCCAGCCAGCATTGCTGTGTACATGGAGGCTGTGCAGGCAGCACCTGGTGCTCTTAGTGTGGCTGATGGGGCATTTAAATGCACCTCCAGGGCCATTTTGGAGTGAGCAGACAAAAGGGAATGGCTGATGGACACAATTTGCAGCAAGAGAAAGTCTTATTAGATATGGGGGAAAAAAATCTTTATAGCGTGTGTTGGTCCAACATGGGGACAGGGACCAGAGAGGTGGGGGCACCTCCATCCTTGGTGGTCTCTAAAAATCAGCTGGACAAGGCCCTGAGTGACCTGACCTAGATGTGAGGTAGGAGCAGTGGGGTTGAGAGAGACCTCCCTCTGCAATTATACTGCCCGTGTCCTGTGGTTGCACGCAGCTCCCCAGAGGCACCCTGGGGCTACTAGCAGGGCTCCCAGCTCTGGCCTGAGATGGGAGAGGACATCCCTCTGTCTCCCAGCATGCCTGCCCAGCACTGGTAGTGCAGTCAGCATTTACTACCCTGGCAGAAAGCAGCCACTTTTCCAGAAAAGACATGATCCCTGTTTGCTCAGCTTTGCTTTTTTGAATGGCAGACACAATAGCTTGCCTGACTGTGCAGCTTTCTAACGATTTACTGCACCCGAAGCCCCTGGAAAACTCTCTGAGCAGTAGCTCCTGCCCAGCTGATGGGGGCCCATAGGCCCTGCTGGGCTTCTTGACCCCTTCCCCAGTGCTGTCCCCACTGTCACGGCTGGGATGCGACTGGAGGCATCTGCACCTGGTTTTAGCTTGCAGCTATGTCCTGCCACTGCAGGGATCAAAACAGCAGTTCTCAATGCAAACGAGCCCTCCTGCCCTCCCTTGCTCTGCTGCAGAGCCGTGTCCTGTCCTGAGCTTTGCTCGGCCTCCTGCTGTGGGGTGACTGTGGATAACATCAGTCGGCATGGCGCACAGGATAAGGTGGGACGGAGGCTTTAAAAATAAACCAGACCCTGCCATAAATAAGGAAAAACCACCTGTCATGCATCCTGTAAACTACCCGTTCAGCCTTTTAGAAAATAATATCCGATGGGAACAAAGCAAACAAGAGCACAGCAGCTGCTGAAGCAGGGGCAGGTCCCTGTGGTACCCCCAGCCCGGGGTCTCTGCCTGCCTATGTGCCCCTCTCCCTGCCCCAGGCGTGAAGCTTTCCCACCACAGCCCTGCTGGGTGCTACTCCAACCTCCCCAGCATCAGTAAGCGCAGGTCAGCTCATGCCTCCACACCCCCCACCCAATCCCCAACTGCACATCCA